GCGACAAGGTATGGGCGAAAAATCGCGTGCTTTCCTCGGCTGCCCGGGCTATCGCCGCGAAGCTCTGTCCCAAGTATGCGGGACCGTTTGTTGTCATAGCTCGATTAGGCCCGAATTCTTACCAGCTTCAAAACGAAAGCGGAGTCGACGTAGGTAAAGTGGCTGTGTGCGACCTGAAACCCTGCCACGACGCGGAGCAGTTCCCGGAGGAGAGCGGGTGTGAAGACCAACTAGTCTCAGACGGGGAGCAAGAGATGGCTCCTGATAGCGACGAACCCAAGCTTTCGGGCGATCAGGCTCCCGCGTGCGAAACGTCGCCTCGACCGTCACTCAGCCAGGACGCCACCAAGCTGGAGCTAGCGCAAAAGAGGCGGCCCCCTCGAAAAAGGGGTAGGCCGCCCGGCTCGAAAAAGAGTGCTCCGCCGCCGGTAGAAACGTCACCGAGATGCCTCCGCCCAAAGAACACCCGAGCGAGCGAACCGCCCGCCTAACCAGCCACCCTTCGCGGCCCTTACGCTCCCGGAGTGCCTCCTTTCTTACCTTCGCTCCTCCGCTAACCAGCTTGCTTCGCTAACCAGCTTGCTTATCTCAGTCGCCTTCTGCTGCTAACCCGCTTGGACGACAACTCGTCTCGAGTATCGCGCCTCATATAACTTTGCTCATATAACCCCAGAACTCTACGAGGATGTTGCCTGCAAGGACCGATAGAACGGTCAGGCTCGACGTGCCCGTAGAAGAGCTGCGCAGGATGCAGCTGCTTATCGGCCAGATCCTCGAGGCACACGCCTCCTTCGTTCCTCCCAGTCCATCGGGAGTGAGCTTGACGGAGCTACTGGGGGAGACCAGCCTCCTCCACATCGCTGCGCAGCCACCATCTGCTGCCCTTCCGGCGCTGCCAGCCTCGGATGCCGCCCAGGCCGCAGCCCAGAAAGCAACCGACGCGCCCCCGCTGGGACGACCTGAGGGCGCCCCAAATGAAGCCACTAGGCACCGGCCGGCACTGCCAGCCATTACGGCGCCGCTCGCCAAGCCTTCGCGGGCTGAGGATTCGGGACCCTCAGACCTCCCCTTGGAAACCCAGTGGGCGCAGCTCGAAAGCCGGGCTAGGCAGTGGCGCAAGACTCGCCAGCAGGCTGCCAAGGAGGAACAGCAAGCCTACCGAGATGTATTAGCCTTCGCCGACCACCCCGACGCTCGTGCCAGAGCCTTGGTGCCCCAGGAGTTCCTACAGCGGGTCGAGAGAGCCACCAGGCTGCGCGCCTACCTGGACGCCGCGGAGGCCCAATTCGTGGCCAACGAAGAGGCCGACAAGACCAGGGCGGACCTAATGGCCCTTCAGCGGCAAAAGCTCCAAGAGCTGGAGGCCCTCCGAGCGGAACTGGCCGCTGTGGAGCAGGAGCGCCAAAACGCCCCAAGACTGCTTTCGGCGGAGCTGCCCCGTCGCGGGCCAGGGCCGACCGCGCTGCAGTACCAGGGAGCCACCGAGCCATGCGGCAGATTCAATGGCCCAAGGGTCGACCTCCGGTACAAGAGGTACTGTTGGGTGTGCAACCTGACGCAAGTGTCCAGAACGGACAACTGCCCCAATTACGCCCTGCACCCGCTGTTCCGGAACGGGAGATACCCGAAATACGAGTACCCGGAGGCCTGCGGCCCGGTACCGACCATGGGACGGCGCGGAAGCTCCACCAGGGAGTGAAGAACGGCGGCGCGATTCGCCCGCTGGGCTGCCAGCGCCCTCGCCGCTTCAGCCCCTCTCCCTTCTATTTTTTCTTCACCATCGCTTCGGAGCATACCAATGCTGGATTGTGTTTCGTTTTTTTTTTCTTTTTCGATTGTATCGGCACCAACGCCCCTTTTTCGTTTTTAAAGATTCACTCTTATTTGTTTAAGATTGTAGAGAGAGACAAGGCCTCGAAGCTACCTCTCCCCAAAAATTGTATTTTCGTTCTATAGTCTGTTCACCTTCCTAATAAAGAATGTATTCTCCTACACATTGATTGCATTTATTATCTGGTCGAGAGAGAGAGAGTGGGTCGAGCTGGTACCAACCTCGCTACCAGCGTCTGGGGAAGGGGAATATAACGAGCCGAGGCTCGTTATATCTCTCTCTCCCCTTAAGTTAATCATAATCCGTTGATAATCCATGTACTCTTCTCCTTATGTATTTTCGGCTTGCCGTAGCTGTGGACGCGGCACGAGGTAAGTCAGGGAGCACCGAGTAGAGAGAGAGAGAGAGAGAGATCCGCGAGTACGCGTGTAAGCATGGACGCCCGAGTGTCGCGCGCGTAGCCTAATTGGCTGAGACGCGCCGCTGCCGAATAGCTAACGCGAGAGAGGGGGACCACGTCCGCGTGCGAGTCAGAGAATCGGCTGCCCGTCTTGGCGAGAGGAAGCAAGTTCAGCGATCGACGCAAAGAAGAAGTGCTTTGTGCTGCACAGCCCGGGTTTTTCTACTGATAAAGACGAAGCGTGCGTGCGATCGTGGGTACGTGCGTGAGTGTGTGTTTGCCGATCCTAGCCGGTCAGCCCGAGTGAGCTGCCTCGAGGCCGAACACCGGCGCGTGTTAAGTATAAAGCCGACGCCACTGCGATTTGTCATGTAAGTGCCCATTCGATCTTAAGATTCTCTCTCTCTCGCTTGCTTCTCGCTTGCCTCTCTCACTGCGAATGCTATCTGTATGCTTTCTTTGTCATCCTAGTCTTAATAAATATTCATCCTGATAATTACTGCGTCTTTGCTCTCGGCACTTCCTCCCTCCCGTGTTGCGCGCACACCGGCTTGCACCGTCCGCTGCTACCTGACCTACGACGCTCTCCGCGGGCCGAAGGCTAGAGCGCCTTCGAGGGGCATGTCTGAGCCGCTGAGCTGAATCCCACGTGTTCCCCGCACGAGTTACCCGCAGGCCGAGTAGCCACTTAGCATCACCCTTAACGGGGCATCAGAAACCCCGTTACAAAATCTATTATAGATTCTGGTGCAAAACATCTCTCTTACCAACATCTACTTTTATACAAAAAAAATGATGGATCTGGAAAAAGTTGAATATTCTCCTGATGAACTTTTTACAAACTTCATAGACAAAGATAAAACAGTGTATGTATAGATTTTTTTTCATAACAAATATTTATATTATCAATATATAAATAATTATTATTTTGTGTTTTGCAGTGAACTGATTGGCTACGTTGATCAAATTTTTGCTCCTAGAGACGTGGGACGCAAATTAGAATTTAAATTATTCAAGTTTGTGCTCAGCAATGGTACTAAAAAAGTATCCTGTGTTGTGTGGAATGATGTAGTTGCAAAATATGAAGCTGAAATCAAAATCAATCGGGTAAGTGTTTTATTAATTTAATTAAAGAAGATAAATAATGTTTGTAACCGTATTATCACTGATATAATTTAATTATATATGTAATTCTTGTGCAGATTCTACACATTACTGGAGGCATGCCCAAAAATTGCCAAGTCTACGTGAAAAAAGAGGATGGATTCGTCGCCTTTGAAATCACAATTATGGACAGCACTACAGTAGATTATATAGGTTACCATAATTTTCAAGATGTAATCAGTACAGATAAAGCTGTAATTGTTGATTTCGATGACATTAGTAATTACCACGGTCAAATGATAAGTAAGTTTTACTTTTCTTTATTTGAACTTTAATACATAACGGGATAATACTTAAATTTGAATTTATATTTTTTTCCAGCTATAGCTGGCTATTTGAAACAGACTTTCCGTGTAATTGAAAGTCGGTTTGGCAATATGAGCTATGAGAGTGCGGCAATTACAAATGGCAACTTAAAAATCAATATCGACATAACAAATTATACCCCATTAGATTATAAACTAGGGGCAAGAATAACGGTTACTGGAGTATTCACTAATACATGCATGTAAAATATATATGTAAATATTCAATTATAAATTATAATTTTTTTAATAGTAAAGTGTGTATTTTTAAATGTTTTAGATGGGTTGGCGACAATTCAATGTAAAGAGATCTCATCTATCGTTCTGGATGACAAATCTGCTGCGATGTATCATACAGAGTTAATGAAGGGCATCAAATTTCCTAAAAGAAAAACTCTGGCATAATAGAAGTAAAGTAAAGTAAAGTTGTCTTAAGATTTAAAAAAGTTTGTTTAGTTTTTGTAGTTTAATAAAAAAAAATTCAGAGTTCATTAAAAAAATATGTTCTTTTAGCTTACGTATTTTATTATGTAATTTTCATTTTTTTAACTTGAAACATTTCATGAGTTACAATGTGATTTTAAATGAAGTATTTTACAATGTGATTTTAAATTAAGTATTTATTGTAGTTTGGCATGATCTTTGATTATTGCAAGTTATAAACATGTTCGTATATTTTGGTATTTATAATCGTTGATTATTGAATATTTAACAATAAGAAAATAATATTTACAATATTTATATATAGCTGATAAAATAAATTATTTATTGAGCTGTATAATAATATAAAAAATGATGTACAATTTGTAAATATCAATTACAAGAAATATTTCCATTAATAATTTAAATTGACTAATTAGTGTAGTTACTAATTGATCACATAAAATTTAGATAAGTATTGATAGTTTTACGTGACTATAATTAATGAATATTTCTTTAGTTGATATTTTAAATTAAAACAACTTGTGTATGTCAATTTTGTATTTTTTTAAATAAGAAATGAACCCTTTACCATGATTTCAATAAATTTATAAATTAAATTTACGCAAATAACACTGTTTTATAATTTTAATTGTAACATAATAATGTTCCTTACATATAAGACAAATGGACATATGATTGATATGCGAGAAAAGTTTGTATCAATGTAAATACGGTAGAAAATTAATAAGATATTATTAGATAGAACATTAATCATCTCTATCTATAAATCTTTTATTTCATTAATATTCATTATTTCATTAATATAATATGTCAATACATGTCAATCACAGAACGCATGCGCAAAATCTCATAGCGATTGACTACATTTTTTCATGTCAATTGACCACTAGGTTTTTTTAGTTGAAAAGTGAGTTTCGTGTTTCAATATTGTGATTTCGATATTGTTAATCTACACTATATTCATTCTCAAGAAATATGTCACTGCTTTGGATTTAATTAATGATATATTATAGAACTGAAAACTGTAAGTATATTGTATAAGAAAATTAATATTAGTACTAAAACAAAATTATAACCTTATTTGATAGAAATGAAATACGTTCAGTATTACATTTATGTTTATACCGTAGATAACAATGTATATTCATTTACATAATTCCATATCTTACTATGGTGTTAAAAGATAATTAATCGTTAATTATATGGATAAAATGCCATCAAATTGCAACTATTTCAAACCCTGATTAATATAAGCTCATCTTCTGTTTTCATGATTGTGATTATATGTAACATACAAATATTATTTGGTAAAAAGACATGCATTAATCTCAAGAATAATTATTACTGAATGGTAATTTTTTTGCAGAACTAAAACTGGATTTAGATTTTTAATGGCTAGATGTAAATATAGTGAACAACAATCAGCATTCGCATCTGGTTGAGCAGTTTATTGCACAAGCGCTTTATGAAATCTTACTTCCTCAAAGGTATATTTCACATTTACTTTCTTATTTGATAAAGAGAACTGTTTATAATAAATGTAATGATAATGTGAAACGTTTTTCCAAGTGCTTGCTTAGAAAGTAAACACATTAATGACTCATTAATAATCAATTGTATGGATTAAATGCTATTAAATTGCAACTATAGCTCAAATACTGATTGATGTCAGCTCATACGTTTTCATAATTGTGATTTTTGACACAGTTGTTTTATGTTATATTACTATTGCATTTGATATGCAACAATATTATACAACTTGACTATAACCAAATATAAAGAATTTTTATCAGTAGAAAATTTAAACAAATTTTGATATTAGAGTAGTCAATAATGCTTTAAAAGGTCTGTTTATAATAGTATACAACAAATCATTGATATTTTCTGTAAGGGGCTTGAGCGAATTTTACTGGAACGATAAAATACTCTGAAATTTAGATATTATGTACATAAAGTAGATTTATTTTGCAATTAAGAAATACTATGGTTGACAAGTTCGTTTAGGAACAAATCACTTTCAAAAAATCGCAAATTTAAGACGTATCTTTATGGGAAATGTCACAAAATTGATAATAACGTTATAAAATACTTTTCGATAAACGTTTATTTCATGAGTGTCCCTATGGCACCCCGCGCTATGTAAGGCATCAACCGCCCAAGCCACCTCAAATATATAATATATGTAATACATATAATATTTTTTTTAATTTTCAGGTACCTGTACTACCATCGCTGTTGACTTCCTACATAATTATATCTATTTTTATATCAATTAATGTTATTTGTTACTGCAAAGTGAAATAATAAATGAACTTAAAATAGTTACTGTCTTAACTATTATTTCTTTACTTTTTATTTACTGCAAGCATTATTTTAGAGAAGTTGGATTTTTTACAAAAGAAAAAGCATGTTCCAGAAAAATTAAAGAAAATATAAATTATAACATGAAAATTTAACTATAAACGAAAATAGAATTTACAACGAAATTCGATCAAAATTGACCAGAATCGTAACCTAACTAAAATCTAATCACAACTTCAACATATGTATCTAACTAAATACTGAACTTTGAAATAATCCAAGCCTTTACTAATAAACCAAGCATTTTTTACTGTACAGACAAAAAATCAAATGAACTTTACTGATATTTAACTAATTAACCAACAAACGAACTTTTGCTTATAATAAAATAAACTAAGCATTTACTTATTCCAAATCGAACATTTTATATTGTTATTTACAATATAATTATTTATAGTATAAAATAATTATAAACAATCAAATATTCATAGTATTTTTTTTATGTAATCAAAGAAATTTTGTTTTCATTTCATTTGAAAAATGGGTAGAAGAAAAATAATGCATACTCCAGAAGATGAGCAATCTTATCAAGTGCAAAAACGTTTGAGAATTTCGGAAAATCAAAGAATTAGACGTCAAGCTGCACGTGATAAATCAAACAATGAACAAGTAAATTCTGTACGTGATAATAATTCAACAAATAATGAACAACAAAATTCTGTAGTAGAAGATTAGTTAGGAAAAATGGATACTTTATGTTCAAATTGCAAAGCTGAACATTTTATTTCTGAAAAAGTAGCAAATAAAGGTTTATATTTCAATGATTGTTGCTCTCATGGGGCCGTGACTTTAGAGAGTACGCCAGATTTTCCACGAGAACTTGAAACATTATTTGATGGAACTCATTCCCAATCAAGTAACTTCTTTGAAAATATTCGTTATTATAATAATTCGCTTTCCTTCGCTTCTTTTAATGCTAATTTAGTTAATTTTCAATCACGTCGTCCTAGACCATATTGTTTTAAAATTCATGGACAAATATATTATCAAATTAATACTGCTTTGTATCCTTCTGACAATGAAAGTCCTACGTATGGACAACTCTTTTTTCTTGACCAAGAACAAGCTCTTGATGTTAGAAGAACTCAAAATCCTCAACTTAATCAAACAACACTTGCAATGTTAGATGAAATAATAAGAAAAAATAATATTTTTGCGAAATCTTACGCAATGATGAAACAAGAAATAAATGATCAACGGTTACAGATGAATGGGGAGAATGAACCTGAATTACAATTATTATTTTCTTTGAAAGCAGATTTTGATAGGAGAAGATTTAATTCACAACGGATAAATGAAGTTGCTGCTATTTTTTCAACAACAGCTGACAGTAAAATCCCAGAGTCTTACGTAACTATTCGAAATAAACAGACAAAAGAATTGCAATGCGTTAGTAGTATGGATCCAAACGTAGAACCTTGGATTTATCCATTATTTTATCCTTATGGATCGCGAGGATGGCATCGAAATTTAGAACGTATTAAAATGAATAATGATGATCCAAGTCGTAGAGTAATACGATTGACCTATACTAAGTTCAAAATTGCTGTAAGACGAAATGTATTTAACGCTATTTTGTTAGGTCGTCGATTATTTCAACAGTGGGTAGTAGATTCTTATGTTAAAATCGAAAAAGACACAATTCAATGGTGCAAAGATCATCAAAGAGAACTTACAGCAGATACGTATCAAGGATTACATGATTATTTGCAAAATTCTGCTAACGATATTGATGGTCAAGTAGGAAAAACTGTAATTTTACCATCGTCTTTCATAGGATGCCCACACCACATGCAACAAAATTATGGCTTTAGTCAGAAAAACTGGTAAACCAGACATTTTTCTTACAATGACTTGCAATCCTAAGTGGAAGGAGATTCAAGAAAATCTTTTATCAGGTCAACAAGCATGTGATATACCCGATATTGTAGCTCATGTATTTCATTTGAAAAAAAATCGTTTACTTGATATAGTCGCAAAAAGCAATTTCTTTGGAAAAGTTGCGTCTTATGTTTATGTTATTGAATTTCAAAAGCGTGGTCTACCACATATGCATTGTAATGGGGTTGATACCGTTTAATTATTTTTATTCGCTCGGCCTCATTCCCTGGGGGTCAGTGGCAACCCATCCCTGCGGTTCGGGGCGGATCACAACGGTCTTTCGACCGTGGGGTCCTCACCCGCGGGCCCTACTACCACATTAATGTGAATGGGCCCCGTTGCGTGACCCCCTTGGCTGCCGTCTACGTTCACCACCAGGTTTACCCCGGACGTTTGCGAGCCCTGGCGTGGTGTGGCCCCCGACCTGATCTCCGGAGCCGTCGGCCTGGCTCCGACGATCGGAGGCTGGGAGAGGCCCATGGGAAGGTCACTCGCCGGGCCCTGGAGGGCCTGGCGGTGACGCTGCTGCACCTCCTTGAGTGCCGACGCGAACTGGCAACGGCGGGACACCACCTTATCCCAGTAGTCCATGTCGTCTGGGTGTTGTCCCGCAGCCGCGTACGCGTCATATTCGGCGTAAACGGCTCGTTGGAGGGCGTTGAGTGTCGCCCAGCCTTGTTCGACTTCCCTCAACCCCTCTACTATTTCCTCGCAGGTTCTTTCGCCAGACGGGGGTGTCTGGCTAGTGAACCTGGGGCGCCAGGTCGCGTCGGTGGCACTCTCCTCCGTTTGGGTGCCAACGGATGTCGTTGGAGCCTTCAGTGGGATAGATCCCGCTGGGAGTCCAGGCAGTGGCGTGGTATCGCCGCGCGCGATGCCGGGAGTCGTCATCGGTTGCGCGGCGGCTTCCTCCGCCGGGAGCTCTTCAATCAGCACGGACGTCGAGCTCTCGTGAGCTCGCGCCCGTGCTTGCTCCTCCTCGCATCTTTTCTGCTCCAGCCGATGTAGAGCCGCGTGGATGACACCTTCGACGGCGGGGCCCAAATCCAATCCGATGAGGGCGGCCGCCGCCTGCTCAAACTGTTCGAGCGTAATCTGCATCCTGCAATAATTCTGCAAGTTAATATCCCGAACATTTTTGGATATCGAAGGTGGGCGCCTGTTCGGCCGCCCAGGGCCTTCGTCGACGGGGTCGAAGGTGGGGTCCTTGGCGTCGGTCTCCCAGGTCCTTCGTTCGCCGCGTCTCATACATTCACGGTTGGTGTTCTCGGTGGTCTGCCCCTCTTCCTTTTCCCGACGATGGGAGGAGGGGCTCGAGTAGTCTGTCGATGTTGTGTAGTGTGTGTGGTTAGCGCGTACTTGCGAGGTCTCCCTCGCGGGCGATTCGCCGTGTTGGAAGAAGAGCTGTTTAGTGAGACTCGGTTGGGGAAATTAAGACGGGTATGACGAGGTGAGCTCGGAGTTGTCGCGTCGTTGTTTCGGGGTGTGTTGTCCGCAGTGTCGGCGCTCCCGTTTCCGTGCATCGTCGTATCGCTCGCATTGGGCGGGACGTTCATCGCCACGGTTCCCTCGGTGGTAGAGGATTCGTCGTCGTCTCGTTGTCGGGTCCCATATTCCGGTAAATCGTCATCTTGCCCATAATAGGGTTTGAGATCTTTGGCGTGTATTAACGCCGTGACTTCTTCCTGTTGATTGGCAAGGCGATATGAGTTGGCGCCGAGTACCTTCGTGACGATAAAGGGGCCTATGAACTTGGGTGATAACTTCGCGGAAATGCCCTGTGCCGCGCAGGACAGTACGTGATTGCTTTTCCACACCCAATCTCCTTCTTTAAACCTGTGCTCCCTACGCTTGGCGTTGTAATACCTTGCCTGCCTCAGGGACTCATCCGAAGCGCTCTCGTGAGCTTGCTGAACAGCGGAACGGCTATTCTGCATGTGCTCGTTCCATTGCCCGATTCGAAGCAAACTCTCCTCTTGCGTGGCAAGCTCGTCCATTCGTCTCCGAAGAGTATTTGGGGCTCCCGGTTGTCTACCGTAGTTGAGCATGGCAGGGCTAACCCCGGTGGAACTATGGACGACCGTGTTCAATGCGAACATGAGTTCGGGCAGCGCTCGGTCCCACTCCCTGTGATTCCCCCGCAGGTACGAGGTTATCATCGTTTTCAAGGTACGGTTAACCCTTTCCGTAGGGTTAGCCTGCGGGGTATAGGTTGGGGTGAAGGTTCGTTTTATCCCCTGCTCTTTTAGGTACCCGTCTACCAACTGGTTCCGGAACTCGGTGCCATTGTCGGACAAGAAGATCTTTGGCGTGCCGAAACGCAGGATTACCCGTTCCCGGAGTTCCTTCACTATCGTCTTGCCGTAGCCACTACGTATGGGTATACATTCGACCCATCGTGTGAATACATCGATGAATACCAGGACGTATTCGTGCCCTCGAGGGCTCTTCGGAAAGGGCCCAACGATGTCGCCCGCGACCACTTGCCAAGGCATAGACCACGTTCGGTCCTGCATGAACCCGCGCGGCGGTCGCTACTCAACCTTGCACTGTTGGCATACTTGGCACTTTTGGACGTATTCCTTAACGTCCGCGTACATTCCCGGCCAGTAATAGGATTAGGCGATGCGGGCGAAGGTCTTCTCGCGTCCCAAGTGTCCTGCCGTCTCTAGGTCGTGGCTCTCGAACAATACCGCCTTGCGTTCCTCCGGAGGCACGACGAGTTTCCATACGTCCCCGTATCCATCTTCTTCTTGTTGGTCGTAGTTTGGCTTTAGGTGATACATCACCCGGCCAATAACCTTCCAATTCGGGTATTCTTTTGGGTGGCTCTCGACGCGTCGGAATTGCTCCGTGTACCAGGCGCTGTCCCTTGACTTCGGTTGGTCCATTGCGCCAACCTCTGCCTTCGTGGGCTCAAAAGCGCGTGATAAGGCGTCGGGCAACACATTGTCTGCCCCCTTTTGATATTCGATCTCGAAAGTATGACGATTTATCTGCCTTTGCCCGTGCCCCGAGGGCGTGTGCGATTCATACGCCACCGCCTCGGCTGGTCCAGGGTCTCTGGCTTTACTAACGT